CTGTCCTCATCCTGGTGGCAGGGCGGTGCAGACAGGCACAGCGGTGGCCCTCAGTGAATGAATGTTTGCCTGAAACAACTTGACAAAACAAGGGACCTTGGGGATGAATCGGAACACGACAAAATGCGCATCTGCATCTTAGCAAAACGCAGTCATTCAAGACCAAGCAGCTGCCAATTAAAAGGATCTTAACTTCCCCCTCATCAGGAGGCTACTGATCCTGGGCTGCACCTGTCCCTGAGAAGCAATCGCAATCCCCTAACCTCTGCAGCAGATGACAGATTGCTCATTGTGTATGTGTGACCACACCCGCAGCTCACGGTTTGCTGGGGGCCCGATGCCAGAATGACTGGCTTTGCTAGTCCGCCCCCAGCATGCACTTCTGTCCCCCGCCACCTCATCAGAGCCATGTTTACAATTCTGTCAGTATTTTGGTTTTAATAAACTCCTTGGCCTTGTTAAATCACCTCCCCAAGGCGAGAACCTTCACACTTGAGCAATGCAAGCTTTTAATGCGACAGAATTATCTACTTGGCGGTCTCCCTGTGGTCGTGCATTTTTATTCTGCCAACACACACTTTTTCAAGATGCATAATTACCCATGCAATTTCAAACAATATTGTTGTGCTTCCCCCCTCAAACATGCTGCTCCAAGTGCCAGAGACACCTGGGGCAGGCCACTGTGGGCAGGGGCTCTTCTGCAGAATCTCCGGCTCCAGCAGACGGTGCCATCTGTCCAGTCCCCTGCTATGTGCTTCACTGGTGTCCCTTGGGGGCCCCAGCTCATTGGAATGCACCTATCCACCCGAGATGGCCCAGAGGTCTCTATTCCGGTGAAACATGACCAGGTTTCAGACTGCATGAGCAGACAGCCACCCAGCAGCCCCCGGCCACTGGCAGCCACTGTCCTGGGTCTCCACCCACAGCCCCACCCCACCAAGGCACCAGATCATTTGTTCCCTGGATTCCCCGAAGCTGCTTCATGTCTGTGTCATGTCCTGCAGTGACCTTCCTAAATCCGCCCCGATTCCGTCACTGTCCTCAGAAACCACCAGAGACTCCCACCACCACCCAGATCAGGGACAGCAGAGGTGGCTCACGCACTCATTTAACTTCCTGAACTCAGACGGTGTGTGTGACTCCAGGCTTGAAGACACATATTTCCCTACAACATGGGTTTGCTAGTCACAAACCAGCCACGTCACCTGGCTCCCAGCCAGCAAAACAGTGGCCTCCGTTGCCCTTGAGAGCCTCAGTTTAACCCCCTCCCCGCCGGTACTTGGTAGATGTGGCCTTGGGGAACTCGCTTAGACCTTCTGTGCCTCGGTTTCCTCATCTGTAAAATGGGAAGGACCATTTTACAGCTGGTGGATGATTAAATCGCAAGGCTGCTGTGGGGATGGAGGAGATGCACAGTGAGCATCGGGACAGCCTGGCCCCCGGGGGGTATTAAATAAATGTGAGCTCATAGTGTTACTCAGAGGTCATTTAAACTCTGTGAGTTTTCAGTCCTCAGATCCTCTTTGTTTTGTTTTACTTTGCTTTTGGAACTGGAGATTGAACCCAGGGGCACTCAACCACGGAGCCACATTCCCAGACCTTTTTATATTTTTTTAATAATTGCTGATAGACCTTTATTTTATTTATTTATATGGGGTGCTGAGAATCAAACTCAGTGCCTACACACATGCCAGGCAAGTGTGCTACCACTGAGCCACAGCCACAGCACCCCCGCTTTTTATATTTTATTTAGAGACAGGGTCTCACTGAGCTGCTTGGGGTCTCACTAAGTTGCTGAGTTCAAAGTTGACTTTGAACTCTAGGTCCTCCTGCCTCAGCCTCCAGAGCCACTGGGATTACAGGCGTGTGCCACTGTGCCCAGCCAGACCCTCTTTAGATCCCAAACCTTGTGCACTACACCAACCAGCAACATCACAAACCAGCAACTGAGGGTCTGGCCCTGTGGTAGTCGGGGTGACACTGCGGGCCCACCTTTACCCTCCTGTGTCACAGCCCTGCCCCTCCCCACAGAAGCCTTCCACTCAAGGCCGCCCAGCCTCTGCCCACACAGACCCTTCACCTAGACTGCCCCCACTCCTGTCCCCTGCTGCCAGCCTACCCCCCAATTCTTCCTTTAAGGTTTGACACCAATGTCACCTTTTCCGTGCAAGCCCGTCAGTGTGGCTGCTTAACTGATGTCGCGTGTGCACACCGTTCAAGACAGCGAGGGCAGGACTCAGTCCTCCCCAGCTCACACTCCGTTCTGCAAGTGTCACACAACCAAAGCGACTGTCCAACCATCCAGTGACCTGTCTCCAGGTTCCAAAGTATCACTGCACCCTCTGGGTCTCAACCTCCTCACTGTGAAGAGACTGTCACCATCCGTGGGGCTCCCCGGGAGACGGCTCAGGTCAGGCCGGTTCTGGCACCTGGGCCAATTTCCGCAGACAGAAGAGTGAGGCAGGGAGAACAGAGGGTCGGGCCCATGGGACCAGGAATTCCTTCACCCAGTCAGTAAGGGCACCACAGGTCACCTGCACCAGCGGCCTGGCAGGAGACAGACACCCAAGGAACAGGCCAGCCGTGCTGGGGCTCAGCCACTCACCCCACTCCTGCTTTGTGCTTTTGAGTTGGCTGGGACGGAACCCGGGTGCTCCACCGCCGAGCCACCCTCTCTCCATATCCCTGGATACATCTGCTCTTCCTCCCTCCCAGGAGCCACAGGCTGTCATCAAGCTGATCCCCTTCCCGCCATGGCTCCTCCTGTCCCTGAGGCTACAGGGTCCAGACAGGCTCCCACTGAGTCCTACAGTGACCAGGGAACAAGGAGGTAAGACTCGACCCAGGCCTGGGGGGCAGGGTTTGCCAGAAGCCCCACCCGGCCCTCTCCTCGCTCCTGAACAGTGTGCTCTGTACCCCCAACACGGGGACACGGCACTTGGCACCAGCTGCTCTGGCGTCCAGTCCAGAAGCAGTCGGAGCGCCCCAGGTGCCCAGGGGAGAGCTGGCACTAATCGCACATCCCAGGCCAGGCCCTGCCCCTCTGCCTCACCGGCTGCCACACGGGGCCGATCTCTGTCAGTGAAGCTGTCCGACTCCCTGAAAGCTCGACTGATTTTCCTTTCCAAGCTGGCTCTTTGCTTCTGAATAACGCCTACACCCACACCAGGTGTCCCCTACGTCCCTTTCTCTGCATTGGCTCATCCTGTCAGGCTCACACCCCCTGGTCCCCCCAAGAGTTTACTGACTGCCTCTGCAGCCACGGACAGAACCCGCAGGCCACTCTCTGCAGACCCACTGGGCATCGACCGCACCAGCTCTCCCTGTCCCCCCGTGCCACCCAAGTAGCCAGAGCCCAGGCAAGCCTGAATGATGCCTTCCCTAGGGGCACTCACCACCCAGAGCCTGGGTGCACACTGCACACGTGTTCCAGGGATGCGCGAGGAACAGTCACAGCAGCATGGCGCGTCCACAAACAGTGGCATGGGTTGAATTACTGGGGTTTGTGCACACTGTAGAATATTACACAACTGTGAACAAAAGAACAGACTACGGCTACAAGTACCCCATGGAGGCTTCTCAAAATCACAAGGCTGAGCGGTAAACAGACAAAGCTATATGCCTTACAAATCCATGCGCATGGAGCATAAAAACAAGGCAAACTCAACTATACAGAGGCACAGACACACATGGTAAAACTAAAGCAAAGACAGGGGAAGGTTCATCACACAGGACACTGGCGACCTCTGGGGGTGGGAGGAGCTTCTGCTCATGGTCTATGTCTACACCTGGGTGGTGGTGGTGCTGAGTGCTGCATTGTTCTATTGAACAATGAACTGCTCTATTGTTTTATGGACTTTCCGGTAAGTACATAAATTTTTATAGCTTTATAAAGAAACATGATTGGATGAAGCACACTTAGAGGGGAAGGTCTGGGAGACCTGGCCAAAAAACAAGCATTCAGGCTGGGCCTCAGAACTTGAGAAGGGCTCAGCCACAGGGGGCCCAGGGAGGGAAGGCCTCCACAAAGGGAGCAGCATCGCAAAGGCCTGAGGCTTTTTTTGGTACTGGGGATTGAACCCAGGGGTGCTTAACCACTGAACCACATCCCCAGACCTTTTTTTTTTTTTTAATATTTTTTAGTCATACATGGACACAATATCTTTATTTTGTTTGTTTTATGTGGTGCTGAGGATCGAACCCAGTGCATCACATGTGCAAGGCAAGCACTCTGCCACACTGAGCCACAACCCCAGCCCACATCCCCAGCCCTTTTTAAGTTTATATTTTGAGACAGAGTCTCGCTAGGGTGCTTACAGTTTCACTAAGTTGCTGAGGCTGGCTTTGAACCTACAGTCCTCCTGCCTCAGCCTCCTGAGCCGCTGGGATTACAGGCCTGCGCCACCCCGCCCAATGGGCCTGAGGCTCTGTGGTACAAGTTTGGGCTTTACTCTGTAAGGGGAAGCCATCGAGGGTTAACACAGAGACAGCTGCAGCCAGCCAGGGCTGGGTCCCATGCTTTACAGTAGGGAACCTGGCCCATCAGCTGGGAGTCAGCCCACGGTCTGGGACCCCAACTCCTAACCTCTAGGTGGAAGCCCTTCCTACGAGACAGCAGCTTTCTTCCTGCAGCTCACCAAACTCCATGTGGCGAGAAGCCTGCCCTGCAGAGTTGCCAGCACCAGGCCCATGCTAACAGCTTACAGGGTGGCCTCCTAGAGAGGGGTCTCAGTCAGGGCCATTTTGCCCCCTGGGGACATTTAGTACTGTCTGGAGACAACTCTGGTAGTCACAACTAGGGGAGGGGGTACTACTAGAGCTACAGACTGAATGGTGCTCCCCCCAAATTCATTGGTTGGAACCTAATTCATAAAAGGATGGCCTTTGGAGGTGGGCCTTGGGGACATGAGTAGGTTGTGAAGGGACCCTCGCACACACAACTAGCAGCCTCAGAAGACAGACCCCAGAGAGGTCCCTCCCCCATTGCACTGTGAGATTACCCTGCAAGAAGACAGCTGGAACAGAACCTCTCCAAGACACCAAATCTGCTGGCACCACGGTCTCGGACTTCCCAGCCTCCAGAACCACGGGAAATACATTTCTGTTGTGCATAAGCTGCTCAATCCATGGTGCTGTGTTAGGCAGCCTGGACAGACGGACAAAGACAACCAGCAGTGGGGGGCAGTGGCTGGGGAGGTTGCTGAACCCCCCACACAGGACAGCCCCCACCACCAGCAATCCAGCCCAAGGCTCAATAGTGTCAGGACACAGAAAGGCCCACCCAGAGACTCAAAGCCTGCCTTTCAAATAAATACTGAGCCCTCAAGACAGAAAAGCCCTCACAGGGGAGATGACGTAGAGGGTCATTCTTGGCCTCCCAGGACCCTCAATCCAGAGACCGTGTCTAAAGATGGCATTTTAGGAAGAAGGTTTCTGGTGACCCCTGACATCGTACCACATGGAGCAGGGCTGGGAGAGGGCTCTCCCCTTGGGAAAGCAGCAGGGGGCTCTGCAGTGGATACCTCCGTCCCCCTTCCCTGCCTGGCCAACTCGAAGCCTACAGCCCCAGGAGAGGCAGGGAGCAAGATGGCAGAGCCAAGAATTCAGCCCTAATGGGGAGCAGAGAGAGGAGCCCCATATCTGGGGGCTGCCTGGGAGCCCATCCCTCCCCTGTGCCCACAAAACACCTACAGGTAAGGGACATTCAGGTGGCTAAGCGGCCTACTCCACCTGGTCGACCTTGAGGACTCCCCAGGTCCACACCCTCCACCCCCATAGGTGACAGCTTCCTTCCTTTGCCCTAGAACTGCAGGCCAACAAGCCTCGACCAAGGCCAAGGCCACCACTCAACAAGGCAGACAAACTGCTCCTGCTGTAGCCCTGGCTACTTGCCCTCCTCAGTGTATGTGTGAGAGAGAGACAGACAGAGTAGTCTGCTTCCCCCTCCAGACTGGACACTCTACAAGCAGGTGCCCTGGGCAGAGCAAATACAGCAGGTACTCAATGTGTGTTTGATTAAGGTTTTTTGTTTATTTATTTATTTTGGGGGGTACCAAGGATTGAACCCAGGGGCACTTTACCACTGAGCCACATCACCAGCCGTATTTTGTATTTTTATCTAGAGATGGGTTCTCACTGAGTTGCTTAAGGTTTCACTGTGTTGCTGAGGCTGGCTTTGAACTCACAATCCTCCTACCTCAGCCTCCTGAGCTGCTGGGATAACACGTGTGCACCATGGTGCCCAGCAAGAAGTGGATTTTTTAATTAAGAAGGCAGTTATGATCCAGTTATCGGGTATTAAACTGTTTCCTGAATGTTCTCTTTCTGAGTACCCTTGTTCCAAAAAGCAGGTTGTAAGATCACATCCCTGCAGGGTCATCTTGATGTGTAAATATAGGAAGTGAGCTGGCAGGAGGGGATGCCCTTGTGAGGACCTGGCACTCCCCCACCAACAACCTGGTCAGGGCTCAGGTTCCCGTCGCCTGCTGGGCTGGTGAAAGGGTGCCACCTGCTGGCGGGTCTAGGACAACAGCACTTTGGCTGAAGTGCAGGTGAGCCTGGGAGAGAGCAAAGGCAGGTGTGGAGGGGGATACAACCACACATCACCTTACCCCTCACTAGCCCTGGTCTCCCTACTCAGGGATTTCATGGCTCCCAGACTAGCTGCTGATTCTCAGGAACATGTCATATTCATATTCTCTCTCACATACACTCACACACACCCAGAGCCCTGCCCAGAAATCTCCAAACTGTAAATAGTAAGCCAGGAATTCTCAAAATTCAAGGTCGGGAAAACTCATGCAATGTTCATCAAATGTACATCTCCAGGCGCTCCCTCAGAGAATGTACCTTCCAGAGCTCTAGAGAAGGACACATGATCCATACAATCACCCTGGGGCCGGGGCTGCAGCTCAGTGGTGGAGCGCTTGCCTAGCACATGAGAGGGACTGGGTTTGACCCTCAGCACCACATAAATAAATAAAATAAAGGTATTGTGTTAATCTACAACTTAAAAATTAAAAATGAAATTTTTAAAAAAATGTTTACCCAATAGCCAAATACCCAGATGATCTGATAGGAAGAAATCTCTGTGACCTTGAGCTAGCCAAAGATTCCCTGGTTATAACAACAGAAGTGCTGTATTATTAAAAAGAAAAAAAATTAAAAGAAATGTATTTAAAATGTACTTAAGGGCTGGGGCTGGGGCTCAGTGGTAGAGTGCTCACTTGGCATGCATGAGGCACTGGGTTCGATTCTCAGCACCGCATAAACATAAAATAAAGGTATTGTGTCCACCTACAACTAAAAAATAATACATGAAAAAAATGTTTAAATAAATGTATTTAAAAGAAAAAAATGAGGGCCAGGTGCAGTGGCCCATGCCTATAATCCCAGCATCTTGGGAGGCTGAGACAGGAGGATCAAAAGTTCAAAGCCAGCCGCAGAAACTTAGCAAGGCCCTAAGCAACTCAGTGAGACCCTATCTTTAAATAAAATATAAAATAGGGCTGGGAATGTGGATCAGTGGTCAAGTGCCCTTGAATTCAATCCCTGGTATCCCCCTCCCAAAAAAGAAAAAAAAATGATAAATTGGACTTTACCACCAAATTAAAAATATCTGCTTTTCAAAAGACACTGTTAAGAGAACAAAAGACAAGGCAGAGGCTGGAAACTGTACTATCAAAACACGTACCTGATAATGAATTTGCCTCTAGAATATATAAAGAACTTTGCAACTTAATGAGAAAACCCATTCTTTGAAATGGCCAAAAGATTAGAATAGACATTTTATCAAAGACAGCTAGATGGCCAGGAGGCACATGAAAAGACGTTCAACATCATTTTTCATCAAAGAACCGTAAATTAAAGTCACAAGGAGATGCCATTATGCAACTAAAAGAATATATAAAATTAAAAACCACACAGAGTGTTGAAGAGAGCTGGGTGTTGGTGACACACGCCTGTAATCCTGGCGGCTCAGGAGGCTGAGGCAGGAGGATGGCAAGTTCAAGACCAGCCTCAGCAACTCAGCAATTCCCTGTCTCTAAATAAAAATTAAAAAGAGCTGGGAGTGTGGCTCAGTGGTAAAGCGCCCCTGGGTTCAATTCTCAGTACAAAAAAAAAAAAACCAACAGTGTTGAAGAGGACAAGAAGGAATTGGAACTCTGGCTGTGAGTGGGGCTGGTTCTAATAGCCAAACACACTCTCACACAGGCAATCTAGCAATCCTACCCCCCTGGGCCCAAGAGAAATGAAACCTGCCTTCACCTGTATGTGAACATTTACAGGCTTTAACTTATGATGGAAAAAACTGGAAATGATCCAAATGTCCTCCAACAGATGAATGAATAAAGAGAAGATGGTAATCTATGCAGCATAATACTACTCAGACCAAAAGGACCCTCTAAGCCAGGTGTGCAGGCATGGCCCATAATCCCAGTCACCCAAGGCTAGCCTGGGCAACTTAGTGAGACCCTGACTCAAAACAAAATAAAAGGGGTTGGAGATGTAGCTTGATGGTAAAGTGACTCTGGGTTCCATCCCCAGTATGGGAAAGGGGCTCAAGTCTCTCAATTAAAATGGCATGGCAGTTGCATATAACCCCACATCTCCTCCTGTAGACTGTAATCTCTAGATTGCTTTCGGTACCTAAATGATATAAATGCTACATAAATGGTCACACTGCCTTGTTTAGAAAATAATAACAAGAACAAAGTCTGTACGTGTTCAGAACAGGCCCAGTTTTTTTCTAAGCAGTTTCTATCCTTAGTTGATTGACTCCAAGGATACAGAACCTGTGGACAGGGGGGCACTCAAGGCCCAGGAGAGTTACCTGGGAGGCTGGTTAAATGGCAGACCACCCCCTTCCTACCCACAGAGATTCTATCTCAAAGCTCTGGAGCAGAGCTCATGAATAGGTATTTTTAACCAGAACTGATTCAGTCCTCAGGCCACGTGCCCAGGACCTGCCCTCTGGAAGACCCTGCAGGAGTGGAGGAACTGACCAAGGGACATCTGTCCTGGGGAAGCGGCCCAGGGGGTGTCCCCACTGCCTCATCACCACCTGGGTCATCCTAACAACTCTGTTGACATCAGGCACAACAGTAGATATTAGCCTCTGGGTTTTTTTGACTTGAAAAAAGTCAAAACTGGAAAGGTGTTTACAATGATGCCTGGAATTTCCTAAGGCCCCGCAGAGGAGTCTGGGAGGCAGAGGGTGGGCGGGTGCAGGTGCTCCAAGGCCCTGGACTGGTAGGTCAGTCTGGGTCACCCAGGGGCCTAGGTTTCAAAGCCCAAAGGGGCCCAGAAATGTCATTTTGAGCCTGGCTTGAGGTGGGGAGCCAAGACCCCTGCGAAAAGCTGGGGTTTGAAGGACCACCTTCTCAGAAAAAGAATAAACCAGGGGAAATCTCCTTTTTGATTATTGGAGAGCTGTCCTGTCTTGGCCTGGGCACTGAATTGAACAAAACACCTCCCCCAAATATTTTGAAATCACAGGCCTATCCTTAAGGTTTGAGGAGTCACTACCCCTAAGGCCCAGAAACCCCGAGGGCTAAGAAGTCAAGAGAAGATAGGCTCCTAGGCTGTCACTCGCACAGTCACAAACACAGCTCCTCGAGGACAGCCCTTCAACCTAGGACTACACAGAAGAGGCACCGCAAGACCTGAGCCCAGTGCCCATCTCTAGCAATCAGAGAAATGCAAATTAAAACTACTCTAAGATACCATCTCACTCCAATAATAATGGCAGCCATTATGAAGTCAAACAACAATAAGTGCTGGCGAGGATGTGGGGAAAAATGTACACTCATACATTGCTGGTGGGACTGCAAATTGGTGTAGCCAATTTGGAAAGCAGTATGGAGATTCCTTGGAAAGCTGGGAATGGAACCACCATTTGACCCAGCTATTCCCCTTCTCGGACTATACCCAAAAGACCTAAAAAGAGCATACTACAGGGACACAGCCACATCAATGTTTATAGCCTCACAATTCACATTAACGATAGCTAGAATGTGGAACCAACCTAGATGCCCTTCAGTGGATGAATGGATTAAAAAATGTGGCATTTATACACAATGGAATATTACTCAGCACTAAAAAAATAACAAGATCATGGCATTTGCAGGTAAATGGATGGCATTAGAGCAGATTATGCTAAGTGAAGTCAGCCAATCCCTAAAAAACAAATGCCAAATGTCTTCTCTGATATAAGGGGGGTGACTCAAAATGGGATAGGGAGGAAGAGCAAGAGAAGAAGATTACCACTAAATAGGGAAGAGAGGTGGGAGGGAAAAAGAGGGAGAAGGGCAGTTACACGGAAGATGGAAGGAGAAGCTCACTGTTATACAGAATACGTATATGATGTTGTAATGAGAAAAAGAAAAAAAAAGTATGTCACATTAGATTGGATAGAGAGAAAGGATGGGAGAGGAGGGAAGGAGTAGGGAGGATAGGAAGGGCAGCAGAATAGAATAGACAATATGATTGATGTATGTACATTCCATGTATGTATTTTATGTCAAAATTCATTCTGCTGTCATGTATGACTAAAAAAAATAAAAATAAATAAATAAAGACATGAGCCCAGGGCCCAAAACTACCTAAGGTTCACCCAGAACAACCCACTGTGACAAGAGTCGGCGGGACAGCAGACCTGCACCTTAAGAACACCCTTTTACAGAAGAAGTAAAGTTCCAAAAGATAAGTACAAAGAAGTCATAGTTAGAGAAATAAGAGTTGAACACTTAATAAAGAAATGATATTATTCCTTTAAATCAAATTCTTTTTTACTAAGAGGCATAAAATTCATTGGATCTGAAGAGAATCCAGAGCATATTCAATCAGATTATTAAGAGAACCAAATAGAACTTTTGAAAACATGGAATTAAAAATTTTAAATGTAATGGAAGGCTCAGTGGGTTAAACACAAAGAAGCAAAGAGTGAAATGGAGGGCAGACT